TCGGCCAGTGCTACCATTACAACAGCTTTCTCCGACTCGGACAAGCAAAACATAATAGAACGCTTGAAACGTGGACGTGACGTCAAATCCGAGGTCCGAGTCGGTTCGTTGGGTATAATAGAACGCACCATAAGAACCCTTTAGGTTTCTTTGTAACCAGGAAAAAAGTTCTGTATGGAACCTTTTATCATTTGTTTTGTCCTTTCCGGATTAAATATTTCATATTATTGACAAACATCGAGACCCTAAAATGTATTTATGAATCAGGGGGCCTGGGTGGGCCTAGGCCCCCTCATTTACATGTCCGGTCCCCTCAGATTTCTGATTGCTTAAAAAAAAAAAAAAGTTGTTTTATTAGGATTGATAGATTGACCAATCAAAATGCTGCGCGGTAAAATGCGGCTTATTTTCAACTTGATTTGTTTATATAACGTGTTGCGCGTAACGTACGCTGTCATCTTCATCTTTGCGTGAGAGTTAATATGCCGTGACAATGGCAGCCGCTCAAACTCAAAGTACAATATTACACTTTTTTTAAAAAGCACGGAAAGATCAACTTGATATATATATATAAATAATGTTGCCCCCTCATTTAAAGACGGGACAAAAATAAAATTCTGGCTCAAAATTCTCCCCCAAAAATAAAATTCTGGCTACACCCCTGTTATGAATGCATGTGAATGATCACAAAATTCAAGATATGAGGCTTAGAAAATGTGTGTGTATATATATATATATATATATATAATTTTATATAGTTAATCAATATCACACGAAAAGTTTTAGTTTTTCTCCTCCAAAAATCAGCATGATTAAAATGTGATATTAAGTTACTACAACAGTTTAATAAACAATAATTTAATTACAACTAAAAAACAGTGCAGAATAATGTAATATATGAATGAATAATAGCCTATTAAAGAACTTTTGTGCCAAAGGTTTTAGCCAGAATCTCCAGAGCATAAAATATAAGATAGGTGGAAAGTAGGAAGGTGTGTTTAAATGTTCAACTGATGGTCTATAACATTACCACAAATTACCATGGATGGACTTCTCAGGATATAAACCTCCGTGAGATAAAATACCTTGGAAAATCATTTGCAAACCAATTTGCAAAACATTGCATAAGCACTTGCACGCTAACGCCACAAGCCTCTTTACTGCAGAATGTCAGGTTTGGTTGTGCTAAACATGGGAGTCATGCAAGGTGATATGCAGAAATCATGCAATTCATCAAAAGTTGCCTTTTTCATTAGTGAAGCTTTCTACACCAAGCAATTTGTATTAAAAAATAAAAAATAAAATGAAAAAACTTTCAACCGTTCAAAATGTTGAGGTGAGTAAGATTTAAAAAAAGAAAAAGAAATGAACACATTTACTCAGCAAGGATTTTATAAAAGATTACTCTAAAGTAAACCGTAAAAGACATTTATAATATTTCAAAATATTACTATTTCAAACAAATGCTCTTTTTAACTTTCTATTTATCAAATAATCCTGAAGAAAGTAATGAGTGTAATGACGCTGAAAATTCAGCTTAGCATCACAGGAATAAATTACAAACTAAAATCTATTCAAATAGAAAACCATTTCTTTCAAATTGTAATAATATTTCACAATATTTCTGTTTTTACTGAATTTTTGCAGCCTTTGTGAGACTTCTTTTAAAAACATTTTACATTGAAAGTCGCACGGTAATGTAAAGTTGTTTAGATGTACAGGATTGTAATAGATAATCATGGGAAATAAGCCCTGCTCTCCTGACCTACCTTTTCATAATATGAGAACCAAAACAACAACGAAACAATGACGATGACCAGGAAAATAAGGGCAAAATCCGATAGCACAGATCTAGTTTGATGCAAGGACTAATTATTATGTGATGAGAACCAACTTAAATTCATAAACAACATGCCATCATACAGAATTAAAGTGAAGTATGCAACTCATAGAAAATAGGAAGATTTTTTTATATTTTAGATAGAGTTACACAGGAGAGTTAGGAATGCTCTGTGCTGACTTCTAATTCTATGAAATAAACATAATTCTGCAAAAAGCAGAACTAAAATATACCAAGTCTCACCTAAGCCCCCGTGGCTTAGGTGAGACTTGGGATATTTTAGTTCTGCTTTTTGCAGAATAACAAGAGGATCTGATGCTGCTTTGGTTATCCAGAAATGGAGTGCAACATTAGTGTAGTCTTAAAGGAAGATAAAAAAAAAAGATGCAGCATTTAAAGCTACATTTTGGGAGCAAGAAACTAATATCTTGTGTAGATTCAGATTCATAAGCCACAGGGTCATTTTAGTACACCACAACAATAATTCCAATCTAATACACATCCATATCTATTACATCACACCAACAGCGTCCTGTAAGAAACTATCCTATCCTGGGTTGTCATGATCCCACTGGCTGTGAGAGCCTTATTACCATCAGGCCAGTTGTATAACATGATAGATTGTTTGACTGGAGTGATTGTTTGGAGATGGATAGTTTCACACCTGCGGTGCAAGAACTGTGGCACAATGTCCCTGATGGGAATGCTTCATGTAGGTCAGCACATCACATGCCTGTCTATCAAACCCTGCACAAAACTCACACAAGGAAAGAGCTATGATAACGAGAACAGGGGAGAAATAAATGTGTGCAATCTGTGCGTGAAGGAGAGAAGTAAACAGAGACACGAAAGAGAGAATGAAAGAGAAAACAGGGTAAGATGCCACTCAATAGTGGTTGCAGAGAGAGTTGCAGAAAGCTGAGGGAAAAATCCCAGTAAACAAATATGGTGTCCACTAGATTAAACAAATACAGTTACAGAAAGTGAACGACACATTAATAATTTATATCAAGATCTGGATTCTGGACCAAAAAGATACTTGGTGTTGCACCGCTTTCATCCATGTAAAATTATGGGAACGGGTCAAAGGTGAACCCTCAGAGAGGCTGAGGTGTAACGTCACACCCTGAATGGTTCAAATGGCTTTTAAAGACCCATGCAATGTAGTAGAAACCACTTCAGATGTGCATTCGTATTCATGATGCAAGAAATGCAACAAACAGAAAAAGTCCGAATTTGGTGTCAACAAACAGCAGAGCACATTTACAAGCTGAAACTGAAGTGTAATACAACACTACTTTCACAGTGTGTGAAACTTCAGATAACAGGTTATGTTTTGACACAAGTGCTTGACTGCATGCTTCACTTATGTGAATGAGTAGCACCACCCAGAGGGATGTTCTGGTACAGGACTGTTAAGAAGATAGATCTATGGTTTCATATTAGCACTGCTGTTTTGTTAACAAACCAATAATATATTCTGATAATTTTATGCTTCTAGCACACTGCTTAAAGTCAAAATAAAATCTATTTTCATTTTCTAAAATGTTTTCCTTAATGTTTCCAGCAAGGGGGGAAAAAATAAACATAGGGAAAATGCAATTTTACAGTGGAATCAAGCTACATTTTTCTCCAGCAAATGGCACAAATATTTTAAAGGGATAGTTCACTAAATTTTTGATATGTTTTAGCTTACCTCAAGGGCATCCAAGATGTAGGTGTCTTTGTTTCCGCAGTATTTTTAATTTTGATATTTTTAGGTAAAACCGTTCTTGTCTGTCTGTCATAATGCACGTCTATGGTCACCACCTTAAAGAGCATGCACAGAGAAGTCCAAATTAAACATGATTTAATGACTCGTACACATTGATGGCCTAAGACACGAGCGGTTTGTGTGAGAAAACGAACAGTATTTATATCGTTTTTACCTCATTACCACAGCCACAAAGCGCCCGCGCCCTCGGATCACTTGGATGTGGCTGTGATTACAAGAGGTAAAAACGACATATAAACACTGTTCGTTTTTCCACACAAACAGCTCGTTTGGTGTCTTAGGCCATCAGTGTGTACTTACATTTATGAGTCATTAAATCATGTTTAATTTGGACTTCTCTGTGCATGCTCTTTGAGGTGGTGACCATAGACCTCCATTATATGACTGAATGATAGACACGAACGGTTTGACCTAAAAATATCAAAATTGAAACTACTTTAGAAACAAAGACACCTACATCTTGGATGCCCTTGAGGTAAGATAAAACATACCAAAAATTCATTTCAAAGAGAACTCTCCCTTTAAATCTTTCATTTAATTTTGTGTACAAATGTCTTAACTTGCAACATAATATTGTACATATAAATAAAAAAATCGTATATACACACAACCATTTAAAAGTTTGGGTCGGTAAGGTTGTTTTTTTTAAAATACTTTTTTCCACAAGGATGCATTAAATGAATTGAAAGTGACAGTAAAGACATCTATAATATTACAATACAATAACAAATAAAAGCAGTTGTTTTGAACATTATATTTATCAAAGAATCCTTAAAAAATATGCATCACAAGCATGTTTCCACAAGAATATTAAGCAGCACAACTGTTTTTAGCATTGATAATAAATCAATCAGAAAAGTTTCTTGAACACCATTCAAAGCTGGAGTAAATTCAGCTTTGCGTCACATGAATAAACTACATTTAAACAAATATTTAACTATACTATAGTTATTTCAAAACTACCATATTTCACATTATTACAGATTTTTACCAACCCCAAACTTTTTAAACGCTGGTGTATTTAAAAAAATCTGATGATTATACTTCTGTTTAATTCGTTGCAATGGAAATAGAAGGTTAATTTAAGCTCATTGCAATGTGAGATACAGCACATTTGACCAAACATGGCAGGTCATCTGGGTTTTCTATACATATACAAAATGTACATATTGTGTAGTAGAGTATGAATATGACAGAAATAGTAAGAGTAGTGTGTGAGCAGTCTACGCCTCACAAATCCTTCCATACAACAAATAAAAATGTAAGATGGCATTCTGCCAAATTGCCAAAGACAATCACACAGGATCTACATTATTGCCAATAGATGACCTAGATACTGAATCTTTTGACTTTGAGTGAACATCAAGTGGTTAATAATGTACCCACCAACAGCTCTGAAGAGGCAGGCACCATCTTCTTTCATTTTTTTGATGACAAATCCTTTCTTTTCCTGGAGCGCTTTTTCAAACCAGTGTTCCTGCTGTAACAGAGGCAAAACTTCAGGACAGACACAATGGGGGATCATTATTACGTGCTTGATAAACAGACTTCTGATGCTAAAGTTATTGTTAGTGCCATTTATTTTATGCATTTTCAGACTGTCAACAGACAGAGCATCACAAAGAAGTTCTAAGATCATCACATTTTATGCATATTTATTCATTTCATCCCATTACAATTTTCCCAGCATTAGACAAATATGTTCATATTTAATGGGGTTAATGATCACAATAATTATTTAACACTATAAGAAAAGAATTTAGGTATAATGTTTACAGTTTTTTTACAATCACTTTGCTACTATTTTCAGAACCTTGATGTCATTTTTCAAAACTCTATAGACACAAAACTTGAAACGGTTATCACTTGTAACACAGGCTGTCTGATGTTCAGAACATTGCATTGTGCATTCACATCTTTAAAGAAATCTTGCATTTGCACAATCATTTGTTTAAAAAACAAATTTACTGTGAAAATCATCAGTAAAATTATCCATTACTGCTGTCGGAAATAATTTACCCTATCGCATCATACTGTCGCACGCACGTTTGTTGTTTATCCAGCACCGGCTTTGGAATCATGATGACAATTCAAAAGCTACCTGGCTGCTAGGTATCTTACATGTAGTTGTAGTCTACTGTCGAGTACGCTCCAACGATCGGCAATTGTAACACTTGCCGTAAAGCAAGTCAAATTTGTAGTTTTCTTATGTCTCGTTCGGACTACAGAAACACAACCCATTCTGGCAATCTTACATAGCGTGGATATATCAGGTGAAGGACCGCAAAGCAGTGGCATAAGTGCATTTCACCATATCACGATTTGATGAACCACTGAAACAATTTTGAAAACATCTTACTAAGTGTTGCTTTAAATAAAAAAAATGGTCTTTATAACTTTTACCAGTAATATTTGACTAGTAGTATCTGTACTTTCACTCAAGTCAGGAAGTTGTGTACTTCATTCACCTCTGAGAATTTATATTGGGTTTTTGGAAGAGCGTTTTTTTGACTTATGAATAAAATAAGGTCTGTGGTTAGCAACTTTTTAGTGGCTTAAAATTTTAAATACACACAAAATACAGTAAATCAACATTTGAGGTATGACTGTTTATAATGTGTGTTGTATAACAAAACTACATTTTCTTTTTAAAGAAATTAATAGCCTACTTTTCTCTGCAAGGATGCATTAAATGAATTAAAACGTGACAGTAAAGGCATTTATAATGTTAAAAAAGATTTCTATTTCAAACAAATGCAGTTCTTTTGATCTTTCTATTTATCAAAGAATGCTGAAAAGTGCATCACGTGTTGAAACTGCAAGAATGGCATGTGATTGTCTTGGAAACAACAGTTAAAATGCAGAAAACCCAAATCATGTAAAAAACATTCATCCTAAGGTTTAACCATAGACTGTAATATCTATATAGATAGATAGATAGATAGATAGATAGATAGATAGATAGATAGACAGACAGACAGACAGACAGACAGACAGACAGACAGACAGACAGACAGACAGACAGACAGACAGACAGACAGACAGATAGATAGATAGATAGATAGATAGATAGATAGATATAGAGGTTTAAACCCATTGAGGTTCAAGTCACCCTTTGCAACCCAATTAAACAGAATGTGAATAAGAAAATGTAGTTTCATCCACTGGAAATTTGTGGGAATTTTACTTCATGATATCATGCATTGAGTAAAAGTAAGGCAAACTGTAATAGGCTCAATTTTATTTCCATGTTGACTTTAAAGACAGACTCCCTCTTCTAAAGAGCAGAGGAGATGGAGCTCAGCACAGCTGTGCCTCTGTCTGGACCTTTGTGGACTACTTTTGCTCAGGCAAATTTGATCATTTTAAAAAGTTTGCTGCCAAGACAAACCACTGCATCCCTAATACCATGTATGTTGAGTGCAGTCTAAAGGAAAATATGTAGAACATCTTTTTACTTATCTTCAATCTACAATTTACAATCTTTTTACAATCAATTTCTGTTTGTCAATTTGTTTGTCTGTCTGCCTATTTTTAAATTAGTCTATCTGATTATATGTTAATCCACAATTCTATCTATCTATCTATCTATCTATCTATCTATCTATCTATCTACCAGTGTCAACAGAGTGTCAGACCACGTGTCACACATTTAAATAAATAAAAAAACAGCATGTCAATGGTTCTCAGCAGGTGACATCATCCATCCACATACCTGTTCAACAGTGGCTGGATCCTCTGACTGTAGTCTGGAAGCATTCTCATACTCATCCTCACTGTTATACCCGGCTCCTTCTTCCTGCTCGGGACTAGGACCCCCTCCTCCTCCACCACCGCCTCCTCCCCCTGTCGCCCCGGGTACGGTCCCTCCACCGGCCACCCCACCGGAGCAGGTCGCCTGTCTCCTCCTCTTACTTAGCCCAGGCCCCGAGCAGCACCCTCCCATCCCACCTCCACAGCCCACTCCACCTGACAGCTCAGCCCGACCCCCGGACACACACGCCATCCCTGCCGCATCCCCCGGGCCAACCGGAGACCCGGCGCCCACCGGCGGAGGAGAGGCCTGCTGCGGCCGGGAGCTGGATTCAGTTCGCCTGTCCTCTCTGGACGCCGGCGGAGCGGCTTGATAAGACCAAGGTGGCGGGGAAGCGCGAGGCCTCGCACCCGATCGGACCCCGTGGGAGTGCTGGTGCTGATGCGGGTCGGAGCCGGTCCTGCGGTCGGGGTCGTCGGGGTGATCAGACACACCGACCGATGAGTTCGGCTTCTTCTTCGGCAGGATCGTCATGACCGCTCAGAGAGGGTGTCCGTTTTAACGACTCCAACCGCGTTTTAACATTTAAACGTGTGCGTCTTTTAGTTCGTAATGTTTGCTCCTTTCACCCTGGAGCGAATTTAATTCAATAGGAGGTGGTTTTGAGGGTAAAAATAGCGGATAACAGAACAAAAACAAACCGTCTTCCGTCCCTCGGTCCTACTGTAACCACACAACATCAACATGCAGCTGACGACACCCGCACGTCATTTCCGTCTCGCCGCTCGTTCCGCCTCTCCCGTGCTCTGCTCTACTGTCAGTTGATTCATTCATACATTCATGTAGTTAGTTTGCTGGTCTGCATTTTATGGTCCAGTAACTGTCCACCAATGGATTATAATCTGTTTATGTTTATGGTTTTATTACATCTAACAGTGGAATTAAAAATAGGCCTAGCCTATATGTGGACTAATGGGCAGCCAAACATAAATTGCCCAATATTCAAACAAAATATATATTAATAATTTTTAAAAATGTGTTTTGACATGTGACATTGTAAACAACAGTTAAAATAACCTAAATCGTGTTTCATGAGATATTACTTTGCAAAAGTTTGTTCATGAATTTACAGCAGTGTATTTTAAGATGTTATTCCAAAGCAGAAATATAGGTTTAACCCACCCATTAAAGTGCAAGTGTTCAAGTCAACATGAAAGATTAACCTTCTGTTGCTATAAATTATCATTAAAAATGTCATAGGCCTATGCTTTTGAAAATATGCCTTTTAAATAAATCCCACCTTCATATTTTGTTTTCTAATGCAATGACATTCCTACAATTTAAGTGTGGCCAGTGTTCAAATACTTCTACTCAACATGAAAAACACTGAACCAATTGTGTTTTTTTCCATCAATTTTGTGATCATTTTGTGATCAATCAAACACTACAGATGCACAATCTATTATATCTCAACTTTTGTGTTTGCAAATTGCTGTTATACCTCCTTGACCATGCTTTATACACAGAAAACTAAAAAAAATCCTGATTAGACATTGCTGATGATATGGTTCTTGATTCTGTTTTGATGTGAATGTTTTAATTACTAAATATAACGTAATATAATATAGGCTAATATAATATTATATGTATATATATATATATATATATATATATATATATATAATATAATATAATAAGAGTGGACATTCTACATTATAATAGGCCTAAAAAGTTGTAAAAGGCAATAAAAACCTTTAATAAATGTAAACCCTTCAAAATGTAATTGGGTTAAATAAATAACTGTATGATGTCTTGGTTTATAACATAGCAATTGAAAAGGTTAAAACTCATTTTATGAAAATAAAGGCTTCCAAAATATTTTTATATGGATCATCAGGGTGCAATTAAAAAAAATGTAACAATTTATATTAAACAAATTAAAATGCCACTTTATCGCAAAAGTTTGCACATTTTAAAGGGGAAACTCTTCAGGAGAAGCAATTTTAAAGTTAAAAATAATGTATTGATACTCACAGTTTTAGACATAAACTTCAAAAACAATAAAGAGAAGCTGTAGCCTATTGTAGTGATATTGTGTTTATTTCTCTCAAATGTTTCTTCAGACAATCATTTCTCCTGAACTAAAGCGCATGGACGTCACAACACGTCTTAACAGTGTAAACCATTATTTTTGACTTTGAAATATAACAATATTTTTCCTCTATTACAAAATACCCTGCTATTCACTGAGATACAGCAAATCGTGTAAGACGTCATTAGTGTCCTCCACCACTAGAGGGCAGAGCTGCAATGAAACATTTAATGCTTAATCTGAGGTGACATTTTCTCTGCTCTTCTTCCAGTAATAACACACAATGTGATTTACAGTCAGTGATGAAAGAACACCGTAAAATCATGTGACATGTGTATGAAATACATTTCATATTAGAACTGACTGCAAACATGTCAATTCTAGAAGTTGGATGCACTTGAGTGCGTTTTCTATCCCCACAAATAATAAAGTAAAATAAAAAATTCAGCATAAAATACAAAAAAATAACAATTAGCTCAAAAACTGAGCAAGAAAACAGATGTTAAAAAGATAGTATATTTTCCTCACTCTCCTTCAGAGCTATATATACCCTGACATCCATTCAAATAATTCATAACATCATTTTTTATGTTGCACTGAGTCTTCTTGGACATACAGTACACTGAAAATTAGCAATGTGAATGCAGTGTCATGCTAAAGCTAAAGTTTCCGGTTTGAAATGCCTTTATAGAAAATCGTCCATGTTAAAGCTTTTATTGGATTAGATATCACTGGATTCCTCTCTACGGTAAAACAAAAAAAAAATTTTATAATTTTTTAGGGTTATATCATTCTTAATTAAGGTAAATTATTGAGTGCACCTTTTGCAAAATTTGATTTGCTTATACAAAACAGAACAAAGATACATGAGCATGTGTCTTGCATAACATTTGTATTGTATTGATCGACAGTTCTCAGTTTTAAACACCTTTAGACAAAATTAATATTGTTTTAAGGGTGGCATGTGCAATTTAAAGGTTAGTTAATCTATGCGAGGAGAAAAAAAAAACAACAAAATTGATTTGTTTTCAATTTTCATTCAATTCAGTTCCCATTCTCCACACTCACTTGATACCTAATACACCACACTAAGACTGAATTGTGTTAATATTGAGTTTGGCAACATATTTAACTGAGAACTGAAGCAATCTCTCAGTAATCAAAACATCAAAGTCCATGATGAGGTGCAAAGCACAGAATGGCCCCATCATTTTTAACGAAGGTGAATGTCTGCTAGTAAATGTCACGCATTTGAACCACATAATTGTTATAAGCTAATGATTTTTTGAAATACATTTTCAGGCAGTGCTAATAAACACAGCCATTTCCACACACTCTTCAATAAATAGTTATTTAACAATGCAAGAATAAATAAGCACAGCTGCGCAGTTGTGTCCCAGATATTAATTACATATGACAGTTAATTAGTTTGCAACTTCGTAGCACCTGGCAGGTTTTATTTTCATCACAACGCAGGTGATAAAAAGCGACGAGTTGAAGACCAATGAGAGCAACGTGTATGTCACCTTCTCACGCCGGTGTATTTTTAGAAGTGAGAGAACTAAAGGACTCACCCTGTTAGCACCAAAATATCATGCAAAATTTCATGCAAAAACTCCAGAATCTGATGTCATGTGAACGCATTTGATATGTGTGAAGCGATATAAGTAGTGTTGATCTGCGTTTGTGTATTGTCGTGCTGATATAGAATGAATAAATGATATGAATTATTAACACATTGGCATGCTTAACGTGGAATCAGTCTCAACGCAAAAGCATAAAATGTGTTTCGCTGCCCACGTCTGTTGGTCGTCTAACAAATCACAACTGCAACCAAGTGTGCTTGGCATTGAAGGGTACAATCTAAAAATACAGATATTTTTCACAATGACAACACATACTTGTCATTTATGTACAAAACAGCACGTGTACTGTTTAAAACGTCTCTGTTGTGCAGCTACCACATGTACGTTTTTGAAGTGTCTATCTGTGAGTTTTGAGGGTCAGCAGCACCCTCTTTCTCTTTTTCCGTCTCATTCTCCCAGAGGTTAATAAGCGGCGGGTAGAGTTCGTTGAGGGGAATGGAGGTGGTGTGCTGCATGTATTTCTTAAGAGAGTGATGACAAGATTTCTGCTTCATGCGCCGTCCCATGTAGAACACCAACAGGGCCATGATGCAGATGGCGAACATCGAGCCCATGACGGCTGCCAGGGCCACATTGGCCGGCTGGGCAACCATCTCCACAGCGAAGCTGGCTTCTTTAGTGGTCACGTTGACACAAGAGTGCTGGGTCTGCTCGCTGCCGGCCATGGTCAGGCAAACCCGGTACTCGGTGGAAGGTAGGAGGTGTGTGAGGTTGTACTCTTGGACATCTACGGGGACCATTGCAGTGTAGCTGATCTGCGGGTTGTCAATCTTTACGGTAGCGCTGAGCCACTTGGGTTGTGCCACCTCATGGTTGGAAGAGACGGCAAATGGGTGCACCTTCCATTCGAGCACCACAGACTGGGCATGGACAATTTTTGCCAGGATTACCAAGGATCCGGTGGTATTCAACACCCCGTGATGACCTCCAATAGAGCGTCCGCCATGCCAGTTGCTCCTATCCACGTACACAGAGACGCTCCTGGTGTCGGCTCCCTCTGCATTCCACGCAACACATGTATAGAGACCAGAATCCTCGGGTTCGACGTGTGGGATCTCTAGAGCTCCTTGTTCTTGCATCCGGTGCTTCTTCTTCGTCATTCCTCCTCCTTCATTTGAAGATGGGGAAACAGCTTCAGAAGTGACTTTGTCACCGGTGGGTGTCACCCAGTAAAACTGAGGCGCTGGATCTGCCACGGCCCAGCAGTTGAGTGTTAGAAGCTGTCCTAAGGTGACATTGAGGAGCGGAGGGAAGGCATACTGGGAAATCAGAGGCAGGCAGGTATTGCTTACCCCATTCCAACTTGCAGACACCACTTCCTGAAGGGATTGGCCGACAAGATGAGGTGGGGATGCACAAAGAGTTATTTGGGGCTCCAGAAGTTTGAGGCTCGATTGGTTGCCCAGGATGGGCCCCCAATTGGCGAGACAATCACACCTGAGTGGGTTGCTATGAAGACTGATTTCATCCAGACTGGGGAAAGCGGATACAATCTCATGGGGCAAAAGCGTGAGGTCATTATTGTGGATCAGTAAGGTGCGCAAGGCGCGCATTTTTAGGAAAGCGGCTCGATCTATAAAGAACAGGTGAGGGTTGTTGTAGAGCTCCAGTTTGGCCATTTGTGGTAAGTTTGAGAACGCGCCCCTCTCAACCGCCACAAGCTCTTCCATGTTGTTCAAACTGAGTTCCTCTAAGTGGGGAAAGTCTCTGAAGTCACCTTCCTGTATACGGACGATAGGATTCTTGTTGAGGTCGAGAAACTTGAGGCTCGGTAGCACACGCAGGGCTTTCTTTGGCACAGCCGTGAGCTTGTTATCGAAGAACGAGAGACTCTCGAGATACTCTAATCCCTGGAAGGCACCCTCGGGTATTTCCCTGAGGCCCATTCCCGCGAGGACCAGACTGTGCAACTTGGAGAGGGGGTGGAAGTTCATATCTTGCAGCCCAAGAATTGGGTTTTCCCCAATCATTAAGATCTCAAGGTTGGGTAGGAACTCAAACCAATGGCTGTCTATCGCCACCAGCTTGTTGGAGTTAAGGTGAAGCCTCAACAGGTTCCCCAAACCTGAAAAGGCATTAGGACCAATAGAAGAGATCTGATTGTGATTGATATAAAGCTCCTCTAAGCTGACTAGATCCTTTATACACATATCAGGCAGCTCTTTAATTTGGTTTTCCTCAAGGTAGAGTGTGACCAGTTGGGTTAGGTTACTTAAGCCAACGTCTTGGATTTGTGTGAAGTGGTTCTGGGAGAGATCCAGTTCCGTGAGGTTGACCAAGCTCTGGAGTTCAGAGGTTACCCTGGAGATATTGTTGCTCTGAAGAAGCAACACCTGAGTATCAATTGAAATATTCCATGGGATTCTGCTCAAATGGAGTTCGTTGCAGTCAACAGTCTTGGCTTGATGGTAGACTGACTGAGGCGTGTACCATGGGCGGGTCTCGCAGACACACTGGGCAGGGCAGAAGGGAATCGCAAGGGAACAGCGACACGCAGCCAACACAAAACAGACTGTGAGCAGTGAAGTGGAAATGGCACTTCTCTCCATATTGAGCATCTCTAGAGTGCTGTGCCCAGTAGGTAGTTGACAGTTGGAGGGAAGATTTCGGCGAAATGGAAAGCAGGAATTTTCTCATCCAGCCCTGCAAAATGAAAAAGAAAGAAGACATATAAATCACGCAGATTATACGATGTCAGCCGAGTGCAAATGACATAAACGGCAACTTTGGATGTGATATTTATTAGCATCAGTTGCAGTATGCGCAGAAGGAATATTAAACATAGAGACTGCAATTTCTGCTCTCCTTAAGATCACACAAACAAATCAAAGCAGCATTTTTTGCAATGAGTAAATATCCCGAATTGACATTTTTAATATTCTACGCTTCGTTCCCATGCCAGTGCTCAGAGATCCCTCTGATAATTGATTATTCAGTCATCCCTCATTCCAGTCAAACTGAGAGCAATTGTTAGCGAGCGTGCAGCGTTATTCAAAAAATACACCTGCCAAACACAGGCTTGAAAGGAGCCACACATCAAAGCCTGTGTGCTCCACTATACGTCTCAATACCATCTTCCCATAAGTGTAAGTGCGCCTGGAAGAATTGCACGATCTTGTAACCGTTGAGTGTAACTGCTCTCAGAGGGGCTGCGACTATACGGCAGGAAAGGCAAAATGAATACCAATGCAATAAAACAGATGCCAAGCACTTTATCACACTCTAAACATCCAACGGACAAAATATCTCCGGGCCAGAGGCATTTGAGATCTCAAGAGCATGTTTAAGCCTCAAGCATTTTGGCTACTTTTTGAATTGGCTTACCACACATAGGCTATTCAATCTTCCGCAATACAAACCAAGACGTTTGGAGGGAAAATAACCTACATACAACAACACAATGTGGCATTTGTCATAACAAGCAGCATTTTGTTTTCAACGTCATAAAAAGAAAGAAATATGCCCCAAGTTCAAACAGGAGCCTTTGGTGATGGACTACCGTTTGATCTCCCACTATGCCAGGGTTTGTGATGCATCGCTTGCCTGATTGCCGCTCGCTCTGTGCTAATGAGCTGAATATAACTGGCAGGAGGCGCGAGAGAAGAACTGAAGACTGTGAGCTGTTAATAGGTTTTACAGCATGACTCACACAGACACTAAACTAGGAACGTCTAAAAGTCCCGCCATATGTTTTCACAAATCTGTAATTGAAGATAAAGTACAACAGCATTAATTAGAACAAACGACAACACTAGCTGACTTTAGAAGAGTCGTAACTGAGATTATTATCAAGGTTTGTCCTGACGGGAACAGAGAAAAAAATGCTTAACTCAAATGATAAGATGCACTATAGTATAGTTAGGATAGCAAAATAGATATACAATAGAAATGATTCCCATATTTGGGATTGCAAAATAAATAGGCTTAAACAATTCCAATATCTTTTGTTGTTGATGTTAAAGGCTGTGTTTCTGATCAAACTCTACAGTCTGTTGATGCAATTACATCTGTCACTTATTGTGTTACTGTACAACACAATAATAGAAAAGCAACGCAAAGGTCATGGTTTTGATCACCAGGGAATTCAAATCAGTTCAGTTCATAAAATCAGAGTCAAAAGCATAATATTCATGACAAGTAAATCCATGGCTTGTTAGAAACTAGATCAATTTAATTAAAATAACTAAATACAAATTTTGTACTTTGTTAGGTCAGAATTTGACAGCCAATGTAAAATGTGGGTCCTGAAAAAAATAAATGATATATGACACATTTAAAATGAGAGCTGATAAATGACGGAGCACTGAGCGGATGGAAAGTGACACTTATATTGTGCACCAAATCTGTAACAACAACTTTGTTCAAAGCAAATCAGTGAGAGGATCAAAGTTTTGTCTCTCACAAACCACACATCCTGGTTGCACATTAAAATAGACCCAGTGATGCAATCAAGCGCAACTTCCCTTTCTGTTATGTCATAAGCAAAATAAGACTAACTAGGAGAGCACAGGGTTTTATGTGCTTCTATGTGATCAGTTGTCCAAACTGCTCATCTGACTTTTATAAAAATGTACTGTGGTGAAACCATGGTAGTAAAGAGCTCTTATAATACCACAGTAAAAAAAAAAAAAAAGTACCATGGTATTTATTTACCATGATGATAATACCATGGTGTCCTATATTTTGACAAATATCATGAAGGGTTAAGCGCCCAGATTCATGTACCATGCTATTTACACCCCACTTTTCATAACATGAAAGAGCTTTTCATTAAAGGAAAACTTTTGCTGCTAATTTATGTCCATGTCTTTCTTTCTTCAGTCGAATAGAAATTATGGTTTTTGATGAAAACATTCCAGGATTTTCTCCATATAATGGACTTCAATGGGAACCAAACGGTTCAAGATCCAAATGAGAGTTTCAGTGCAGCTTCAAAGGGCTTTAAACGACACCAGATGATGAATAAGGGTCTTATCTAGCGAAACGATCGGTCATTTCAAAAATAAATAAAAATTGTAAGTTTTATAAGCTCAAATGCTCACCTTACTCTGTTCTGTGATGTGCGTTCGTGACTCTCCTGTTCCAACTCGTTTATCAAAATGAACGAATCTTTTTTGGAGTCATTTTGTTCATTTCGTTCGCTGAATCAACCAAATGACTCGAAAAAATTAGTTTGAACAGGAGAGTCACGAACGCGCATCACAAAACAGAGCAAGGCGAGCATTTGAGCTTATAAAACGTAAATGTTTTATTTATTTTTGAAATGACCGATCGTTTCGCTAGATAAGACCCTTATTCATCATCTGGTGTCGTTTAAAGCCCTTTGAAGCTGCACTGAAACCCTCATTTGGACCTTGAACCGTTTGATGCCCCAATGAAGTGCATTATGGAGAAAAATGCTGGAATATTTTCATCAAAAACCTTAATTTCTTTTTGACTGAAGAAAGAAAGACACGGACATCTTGGATGACATGGGGGTGAGTAAATTATCAGCAAAAGTTTTTTTAAAAGTGAACTACTCCTTTAATGAATGTCATAAACCTCAGAGAGACTCAGAGACTTTAGAATGCTTTAAATGGTAAACAATTTCACTTGTGGCAGCAGTATAACACAAGAAAATTCAACATCTGCGCGCGGCCTGTGAAAAGTGCTCTTGATTGCAGCGATAGGCCTGTTCAAAATTATCAGAACAAAGCCAGAATGTGGACTCGACGCTCAAACGGCACTGGCTCTGGAATTGAAAACAAGATGTGGAAAATTATTACCCACCCTCAATCCCCCCCTCCACACTATTATCTTCTCATGCATTGAACACAAATGAACTCCCCTGAGAGGTGTGTTGAAGAGGGGCGAGATGAGACGGGGGAGGGGACAGTCAGACGGATGGGGTGTGTCCCTCTTTGCTGCAAAGAGCCTCAAACGTCTGATGTACCTCAAAGACTTGTGCTGTCACAACACATCGCTGCATAAAAGTCCAAAACACTTCATGCAATCTCTTGCATTAGCTTGTTGTCGAATTGTCAGTTCAGGTAGGACAGATCAGATTTTAACAACAGTCACTTTTACACACGTACAACCTGGAAACAAAGGTACTGGGAATCACGATGGCATTTGAGATCTCAAAATCCCTAATGACACCATCTTCTGAATAAAGCCTGAAATGTACTCTACACAGGTGAAAGCAAATGCTTTTAGGAGCAATTCATAGCACAATACAAGTATGCAAGCCAAACGCGGAGTGCTAACTGATATTAGCATTAACTGTGTTCTCTTTCAGGTCAAGTAGTCTCAGGAGAATCATGCTGAGCAAGTGAAATCACAATTTTATAGCAGCTATCTGACCAATAAAACACTCTTGAGAACTGAGGTTTGTTACTGTCACAGTTACACAGGGTCTTTTTGTTTACATTTATTTACATTTGCTACTAATGTACATTTACCAACTTTATGAAAACCGCACTGCTCTGAGTGGGATTCGAACCAGCCATAATAAGGATGCTAAAAACCACAGCGCTAGTCGCTAGTGAGCCTCTTGAGGCCAGGGGAGTGAGGTTTAACAGCACAGCTCTTTTACGTCACATTTATATCATCATAAATGTTGGTATACTGTAGCAGCTTTATAATGTGATAATGAAGCACATACCTGCTCAATCGTGATTCAATATCTGGTATCTGTTATGTCAAGTGTTTGGTAAACATCCTTGTAGTCCAATAAGTGTGCACATTGCACAGTTCACATGGTGGCCATCTTGTCAGCTATTTTCAATCATGCAACTAATGTACCTGAATGGGAATATAATACGTATAAACAAGTTTTTTTGTGATGATTTGTGCATAAAAATTGCAATTTATGATATTATTGCTGTCAGGTTTTATTCCAGATTTAATGTTATTAAAAAATCATTTTGACAAAGCTTTATTACTTATATATTGTCTCCATTCAAGTAGATATAAGCTGAAGTTACAGGCTTTAAATCCGTGTGACTCTATTATCAAATCACTATTAGTATTGATTAATATTTTAAATTCGCTTTTATTTTTCCACTTTTTATATTTAATTTAATTTTCAGTTCAAGTTTTTGTCAGATATTCATTTTCTTTAAGTCTCGGTTTTTGTAATCTTTATTTCAATTACTGATCTAGTTTTAGGAATAACAAGTGTGTCTACTTTCAGAAGAAACCAGTATTATAGCAATGCGTCGTCCAAGCATTTACATCAGCGTTAGCATATTTGTGTATATTTCTTGCCTAAGGCTAGAGTGTTTCTCTATTCTCAGTGCGCTAACTCTCATTCTGCCAACCCGTGCATTTTAATAGCATCTGGGGAAGAATTCTTGGGAGAAAAGACAAAAAGATGATAGTTGACATACAGTTATACAAAGCTAGCAGCTCAGATCATTAGATCTTTTTTGATCTTGAGTACATATTGGGATTTCTTACTTATTTGGTATCATGGCAAATCTCAGCATGCCCTTTTTTTAATCAACAAATCAGAGGCAAATTCTCCTTTTTTGCTCTCTATTTAATCTCACTGCTGTCTTAGAGAAGCAAGTGAAATTTTTAAGTGATATATCTTTCCAATGTCCCCTCGCACCCTCAGAGGTGCTGATCCTTTAACAGACTGGAGACAGATCATCTTAAGC